CCAGCCAGCTCTGCTGGCTGGGGTATTCTGGGAGTTGAAGTCCACAGGACTTAAATTCGCCAAGGTTGAGAAACACTGACCCCCCGCAAGACCCCTATCCCAGCTCAAAGTCAGCGATACCTGATAGTTCATGATGGCTCGTAAACACAAGATGCACACGTGCACATCATCTTTCTGGCTCACCAGCCGTGAGTTCTTCAGAGCTTTTCTGCTGGGAAGGGTGGTGTATCTGGCCAAGAGAAGAGAGCCCTACATTTAGCAAGACCAGTAACCTCGCCAGAAGAATGCTGTCACTTGCCAAGGATGAGGTCACAGCCACAGCTAAGAAGGAACACTGAAATTAGAACCACCGGCTTCTGTCAGGAGATTTCCCCAAGATGTATGTTTTCCTTTTGGAACAGAAAAGGCTGGGTGGCCTCATACCTTCCCTGCAATCTGATAGCAACTGTTCTGAAGACGGGAGGATCCTAGAATTGCCAGATAGAAGGCAATCCTGCAGCTATCCCCTCTTTTCCTATTTTGCAGATCTTGGTAAACAGAGAACTTTGGGGCAATGAGGGAAATTAAATAAACGGGAGGGAATTTTTTCTTTTCTCCGAAGGAACTTTAAACCATTCAGGGAATTTCCCCCATGCTTTATTTCCCTATTATTATTATTATTATCAGTTTCTATTAGGGGGAGGAAAAAAACCCTAAAACATCCCAAAATGTTACTTTAGCAAGATGAAGGCACATGATTTTTTTTAATCAGCCCAAATCAGGAAAAACCTAAACCAAAGCAATTCAGCTAAGTGATTATAATATTTTTTTAAAAACCAAGAGAACAAATAAGATTTTTGTTCATGGAAAATGATCCAAATTTGGAAGAAAATAATAGATAATTTTCTATTCCACCAGGAACAGAAAAATTAGTTAGTTCTCAAAAATGTGGCATGTAACCTAAACATCTGGGCAGCAGAGAGAAACTAAATTGAAAGCTTCAGATGTCATCGCTAGACAAGAATGTTCAGCTAAGAGAGGACATCTGCAGAAGTTATCATGATAAATTCTATGTTTTCTCCTCAAATATTCAATTCTATTCCTTTCTCTTCTTGTAAAGGAAAATGATCCAATCTGTAGTCTTGACTGAATTTCAGGAAGACACTGGACCTTTCACAGCTAGTAGGGTTATTATCCAATAAGGCATTCTAATGCCTACCATATATTTTGAATTATGATCCCCACAATCCCTTGCTCATCATGCTTTGTTGGGATAGATGAGAGTTGAAAACCAAAATGTTTGGACAGCATCTATTTGCCTATCCTGCATTTTATCATTGTAGCAACAGTTTACCTATTCTCTCTGAGGGTACCAGTGCCATCACAGCAGATGGCTGGACTCTGCTTTTTTAGCTGCCCCTTCAAGCAAGAATAAACTCCCATGATCTTATAAAAGCAGCTGATTTACTTTGGGCTTTTTTAGCCTGAGCAAGTTGGCTTTCAGGCACAGGTTAAACTACCTACTTGCCTTCCAGCCAAAAAGGTCTGCCATGAACTACTACAGGGGTCAGCAACCTGTGGCTCTAGAGCTGCATGTGTCTCTTTCATCCCTCTGCTGTGGCTCCCTGTTGCCAGTCGGCTCCACAATTGATAGGGCTTTCAGTTAGGACGGGGAGAAGAAAAAGGATGCCGCTAGAGGAGATTCTATGGTGAGAGAACTGGACTTCTGGTTGGCTTCAAAATTGAATGGGGAGTTTCCGGTTAGGACTTTGTGGCTCTTTGAGTGTTTAAAGTTGCCAACCCCTGGACTACTACTACAGGGGCTCTTGTCCACATGCCCACACATATCTGCATGCACATAGGCCAGTATCCGGCCTGAGATGTACATCACGGTATGCTGCACATGGCACCCAATTCAAGAATACTTACCAAGGTAATAAGGACAGAAAAAAGAGAGAGAACAGGAGACCCAGCAAAGACAGGCAAACAGAGCAGGGCAAAGGACAAGGCCTGGAGCAGAGAGGAGACCTGGCCAGCTACCCACAGAGGAACATCAAGGGGGAAGAGTGGGAGTGGGAAGAAGAAATCAGCACACGGCATCCCCTGGAGGGCAGAAAGCAGGGCAGGTTTATTACTGTATGTAGCACCGCTGAATAGGATAACATACTGGAGGTTGGCGGCAAGACAGAGAGGTACATACCGGAGAGCAGACTGGCGCGCAGAGCGAGCAAGACTGTTGGCGTAGGGAGCAGACAGGGTGCTGGGGTGCTGCAGATCCTCTATGGACCTACTCCAAGATTTCAGCTTCTCTAGAGCTCCATCCTCGCTATTTTCCAGACCCTCAAAATCAAACCTGGAGGGCAGACAGGGAACATACACCATACACACAGGGAAGCTTTAGGGCAAAAGCTGGCACAGAGGAGTCAAGCTCTGGATTCCCCAAAGGATGAGTGTTTCTGCAAGCCACAAGTCAGCAACATGGAACATAACAAGGTGTGAATGGACAATCAAATGTCCTCTCAGTAAGTAAAATCTCAGCATACAGAAATCACTGCTGCACACAGAAATTCCTAGGGCAATTTTACAATATGGTTACACCAATACAGAAGCAACAGTAAGTATATTCCACACCATGGGGTGGGAGTGGGGTGAATTTGTATTAAATACAGTCTTTTTTGGCGTCACCTTGTGCCTGCAGTCAGTTGTCCTTCATAGACTAAGGTGTTTGCATTAGGATACAACTAAATAGCTTGATTTCAGGCATATATCTTGGTAACAGCTGGTTCCATTTGTGCTGAATTCTGGATGGAGTTACTGTTTTATAATAGATTTCTGGAGCAGCTGAAGCTTTGTTAAAGGAAGGAATAGTTTTCCCAGTTGGATGCATTTTCGTAAGTCGTTTTTATTATGTTCTTTAAATCTGTGAACAGCAATAAGCCAATACTGGCTCCTGGTCTATTTAAAAGATCAAAAAAAATGAACTTTGGAGTTCTAAACAACCTGGGATGAAGTTATATGAAAAATCCTCTTGTCTCAGACTATTTCTGAGTGTTGAGATCTACAAATCCTTTCTAGATTTCTGTCTTTTTCTACAGTTACAGCACTCTCACTTTAGGGCTTTCGCATAGAGCAGCTCTGGTAAAGCCTTGTATTTTGATGAAGTTCAATAATCCCCCTAAATCACACCTTTATAGTACAATTCAAATCCAAATATAAGCTACTTGCACACAATGGTGTGTTCAATTAGATCTGCTCAATTCTTTTATATTTCAAGAATGGAAGAGCTAAGAATGCAAGTTTCAGCTATCTACTTTTTATTTTTTTGACTAGATCAACAATTTCAAAAATCAAGATACTGGAGAATTGGAAGAAAAACAGTCAATTTCTGAAAAAAGGGCTTTTCACTTACCTTTGATGCCTCCCAATATTTGAGGTTTTGTCCTTAGTCAGGGCCCCGCCAAAATATCTATTTAAGACTAGGTCAAACTATATTTGCTCATACCATTCTCTCTGTCATGAAATCTGCTTTTGTCACAAGAGCTTTTTCAAGCATATAATATGTGACTATCTTAGTTCTATTTATATTTCTAAAATGATTTATACTATGGGCATCAGTGGTGGGTTTCAAATTTTTTTAGAACATCTTCTGTAGGTGTGGCCTACTTTGTGGGAGTGGCTTGCTGGCCTTGTGACCAGGTGGGAGTGGCTTGCCGGCCATGTGACCAAGAGGGAGTGGCTTGGCGTTTAGCAACCAAAATGTTGGCTCAGAAATTCTGGCATTTGAAGAATGCAAGTCTTAAAGCTGTCAAGTTACAAGACTCTTGCACCCCTAACCCTTTAGAAAAAAACCCAGGGGTGCTCAAACTAGACAGCTTTAAGACTTCTGGACTTCAACTCCCAGAATTCCTCCTCCAGTCATGTTGGCTCAGGAACACTGGCATTGAAGCAATGGTGGGTTTCAAAAATTTTTCAAACCTACACTGTGAGTTAGCATTCCTCAGCTAGATAAGAAATTTATTGTATGATTTATGGATTAAGGCATTAAAAAGGGTTGAAAAGGACAGGGAAAGAATAAGATGGCAATTCGATAGAAAAAGGGCTAAAACCATAATACTATGCTTTCTTCTTTTTTTCCTACCTTTTTCCTTTGTTTTTCCTTTAATTTTTTGGTAATAATATTAATAAAATATTGAAAAAGAAAATAGATTTAATGCACTGTAATTGTATTTTGTGTGTGTGTGTTTGCATACAGATTCAGACAGATAGAAAGAAAGCAAATAAGAAAGCCATCACTATGAAAAGCTCAGTAACATGAGCTGATAAACTCATCTAGTATCAAAAATAACAAACTTAGAAGTTACCCTGAATTTCTCCTGTTAGCCGTGTTGCTGCTGTTTTAATGCTGTTTTAATACTGTTTTAGTCTGGCTTGGGCTACTCCCTGTTTTATATTTTTTGGGTTGTTTAAAATAATTCACTCCAAGATCTCTGCTTCCTGAGAATGGGATAATTGGTGGGGGGATGAAATAAACAAGCTGTCAAGGCAGAAAGATCAGGATAAGAATTTATGAGGATAAGGAGATAACTTCAAGAAAATTCACCTTCCAGTCAGAACTAGTTTGGATAGAAATTGGCATCTTTGCAGATTGCCTCATGCTCCCCCATACCTGATAAAGAGATACGCTACACGTACATACCATTAGCTCTCTTGTCTACTCAGCCCTTGGGACTTCACTAGCAAAGACATTTGGGCAAATTCAAGGTGAAAGTGTCCCAACAGAAGCAAGAACAGAACCGGTTAGATCTCTGGAGTGTCCCTCAAAACAACTGCCAGGAATTTCTTTCCTCTTGTTTTGATATCCTTTGGTCTTTCTTTTCATGTTTCTGTTAGGATACCTAAATATTATTGCAAAATGGAATTTTATGGCCTTTCCAACTAATTCTCGAGGACTCTGGGGACCAGTTTAGGCCATCTGTTGGAGGCTTCATGAACAGTGGGATCAAAGCAATTTGCCGTTTATTATTGTAACAGCAAAGCATCTCTCCAAACCCCTTTTAAAGCCATCTTTCTTATATTCTCTTGTCTCTCAACCAAGCAGCAGACGGAAGAAGAAAAGATTTACATAAGCCTTGAAATTAAGCCTCAGAGCCACATATTGTCCTACATCTAGGACGTCCTGTGTGGATCATGCATTTAATAGAACTCCAGATACTTTTTTTGAAGCAACAAAAAGAAAGATAGACAACAATATCTTTCACTTGCTGCACTTTTGGCTAATATTTCCAGTTTCAGTTCAGAAAAGTGGAATGTACCGTATTAATTATAATGTAATTAATTAACTAATGAAATGCCAGACAATTAGCTAATTCTCATTAATATGCACCTGTCATTTTTATTTATGTTGTTAGTCTACCAAGACATACATGCCAAGCAGCCAGCACATTTTTTCTCGTAAGTACCTCTCTAATCAGAGGTGAAATGCTCTGAACTCTGCTTGCTTCACTTCGCGCATGCGCACCGCAGGCACTAAGAAGCTTTTTCTGAGTCTGCAAAGGTAAGTAGAACAACAGGGGGACGGACGGATGGACAACTGCTGTGCCGCATGATTTACATTAGCTAGAAAGCAGGGTTTCCTGCTTTTTAGCGAATATAAATCACGCAGCACAGCTGATTGTTGCACAGCTGATTGTCGGAATTTTTAAAAAACTTTTTAAAAGCATTTTTACTAACTATTCGCCCGAATGGATAGTAAAAAAACACTTTTAGAAGTAAAAGAAAAGTTCCAACGATCAGCTGTGCCACGCAATCATCGGAACTTTTTAAAAAACTTTTTAAAAGCATTTTTACTAACTATTCGCCCGAATGGATAGTAAAAAAACACTTTTAGAAGTAAAAGAAAAGTTCCAACGATCAGCTGTGCCACGCAATCATCGGAACATTTTTAAAAACTTTTTTTTAAACATTTTTTTACTACCGGTTTGGGTGAACCGGCCCAAACCGATAGCATTTCACCCCTACCTCTAATGCAAACTACAATGTGAAAGTGGCGGCTAGGGAGACCTCCATAAGGAAAAGAAAGCCTGGCATGGAAAGTGATGAAAACAACATGTAAATTCTTCTCTGTCTGGAAATCTGAATGAGATTAAGGGCCCCACATATAAAACCAAAATGTCACCATCCACTCAATATGAAAACCTCATGATGTCTTCTTATAACTGGCACTCTTAAGAATGTATATGATACCAACATGAAATATCTACATAGGAAGGGAATATTGTGAAGAAGGAAGAAGAACCAGGGCATCTCGACAATAACACAATGACTTACATCACTGCACATTGAGCGAACGAGAGGTAGTCCACCAGCACATCCAGGCCTTTGTTTTCATCATTGAGAAATTCACGCACCCATCTGCAAAGAAACAATAAGAAAAAAATGTCTCCAAAATGTTATTCCAGATGTTTTCTGATGTGACTTACTGACCGTCTTCAAAGTGAAACCGGGGCACTTTTTAAGGTTTATCCTTCCAATCAGTTGTCCTCAACCTAATAAGACAACAATTTCCAGGATTTCCAGCTGATGGAGGATTGCCTCTTTATACTTTCAAATAGTATGTAAAGAAAGTTTAAAAAGGTGCTTCCCCTCCCCCCCAGGATTTCTGGTTTCAAAGAGGGGTTAAAGAGGCCATCTATGTCAAAATTGAACATCCCTCTCTCAACAGAGGGGGAGGAACATAGACATAATCTATCTCCAATCTACAAGAGTCTTTTCAACAGTTCCAAGAAGGCTCCACACCCATTCTCACCACTCAGGTGACCTTGATGCCACAGATAAATCTCCAGGTGACCTTAATGATTTGTTAAAAGAATGCAAATGACCAGAATTATACTCTCTGCAAGGAGTATAAATCCTTCCATTCTCCACCATCCAGTCAGAGCTTCAGTATTTCATTGAATGATGCCTTCTACCTAATGTAATTTTCTCCTCTTTTCTTCTTCTCAGTGTCTTTATTTCACAGGTTCACACTGCCGTTTCATCCATTTGATTGTGGCAATTCAAGTAACTGCAACTCTCAGGAATGAGAACCCGAGTTTATATGCACACTGAAAAATGTAATATTTTGGCTAAAACTGATCCTATCCTCTTCCTCCTTCTTGTTGGTTCTTCTGTTTCTATATTTTTATAACCACTGCTTACGCTTGATTATACCTAATCTTGTTTTATATTAAAATTTCAGGGATGGATTTTGCCTAAAAAGACAAGATATTAATTAGTTATAAATTAGACCAGCATTCCCCAACTTTTCCAGCTTTGGGGACGGGGGAGGGAGATGGGATGGTTCCTTGTAAGCAATGGGCAAGCATTTACATGTGCACAGCTCCATTTGTGTGAGCAGTGGGCACACACGCTTGCCGCTCACATGAATGATGCATGCACATATGCGCTTGCCCGCTGCTCATGCAGGCTCATGCTTGCCCCCCACTTCAGGCAGCCAACTTCTGGCCCAGTAATAGGCCACAGTTTGGGGGCTGGGGACCCCTGAATTAGATGGATATTTTGGGCATGTAGAATCTTGCACAAAAATCAAATTCACCATCTCCTGCAAAGTGCTGAATTAGTATTTAAAGCAGGGTTTCCAAAACTATGAGGTATATCCAGGGGTGAGCTGCTACAGGTTTGCCCGGGTTCGGGAGAACCTGTAGCTAATGTTATGGCTGGTTTGGAGAACCTCCAAATCCCACCCCTGGCTGGCCCCACCCACTACACCCCACCTCTCCCACCTCACCCCTCCCCTCCCAGGAGTCTCTATTCAGTCCATTTTGGATGCGAGGTAAGTGCAGGGCCCACATGGAGGTTTTTTTTTTGGGGGGGGGGGAAACAGGCCTCCCGGAAGTTTCAGAAGGGCCTCCAGAGCCCAGAGGAGGCAGTTTTCACCCTCCAAAAAAGCTCAAGGAAAGCCTCTGAAGCCTGGGGAAGGCAAAAAAAACCCATGGTGCAGGAGGCCAACTAGACTATGCCCACCATGGCCACACCCACCCAGCAACCAGGCATAGAACCCATTGCTAAAAATTTTGAAGCCCACCCCTGGGTATATCGTCTTCAGGGAGGTGGTACAGGCTGAGTTCAGGGGAGGGATGAAACAGCTTTTAGTTGTATATTGTTATAATCAATCCGCATTTCCCATTATATTATTTAATTGTTCATTCCGTTATTTGGATTTTTAGGGGAGGTATGAATATTAAGATTACAATAAAGGGAGGTATGATGGCAAAATGTTTAGGAACCCCTAATTGAGATACTTGAAAACTCACATAAATGACAACAGTCTGGGAGGGCAGCCTATTCAATGAAGCCCACACTTGAAGATTCATAGAATTATAACTGGAATTGTGCATGGAAAACAAATACGCTCCAATGGGATGTCCCTTCTCAATGGGAAATTCCCTCTGAAAGACTACATTTAAGTGAATGCCTATCTCCAGCCTAGACATCAGACATCAACAGTTCTCATTCTCAAATAACCACTCAAACTCAGCTTATTTTTAGGACTATGTCAAGTCTGGAGTTTTGGACTGATGTATATAAACTGGACAGGGTTCAGAGAAGACAGAAGAACATGATAAATTTAGAAGGAAATCAGCAACTATGGCCCACCCAATGTGTGTTCAGGGAGATTGTGGTAGCCCCTAGTTGTTGTAAACAAAATACTGTAACTGGTAAGGCTTTATCTTTCCATAGCAGGGAAGGGAGTGTTTGCTTAGGTTCCAAGACATCTGCTGGAGATCCCTCCCCCTCCTGGAGTCTTTGATGCAAGGAGGGAAAATGGCACGGGAAACGAATCTGACAAATCTGTAGGCAAAGAATCAAACTGTACTTGTTGGGCAGCACCAAACAAAGCTGTGAATGTGTACGTGGAGATGTGCCAACTCAGGAACAAGAACTGCACATCACAAGAGAGAGAATGCCTGCAGCTCGTGGTTTCAGTATGTGCTGTTATTTCCTGAAGCAGCTTTGGCTGACTGCAATTTTGACCATTAATCATCGGGACCCTGAAACTCACACTCTCTCTCTCTCTCTCTCTCTCTCTCTCTCTCTCTCTCTCTCTCCCCCCCTCTCTCTCTCCCTCCCTCCCTCCCTCTCCACCCGCCCATTTCCTGCCTGTCTGAACTTCAGCCTCCAACCCCAGTGTGTTTCCTGTCTGATTTCAGTGGCTGCACTACTAATTTAGAGTCTTCAATGCATTTGTTGAAGACTAAAGGATGTGGAGGAAGGAGCAAAGGCTCTCTAAGGCAAATCCCATCCTGTAGTCAGGTAAGGAAGAGGAATTACAAGCGGGTGTGTGAGTTCCTAACAGAAGAGGAAGCCACACAATTATTATTTTTTTAGGGTGTGCTTGCAGAGAGGCTTCTTTACAAATGCATCTGCTGCCGTGCCTATTCAACTACAGCTGATTGGCAAAGCACATGTTTTGTATATGGGTATCCCAAGGATTTACCCCAAACGTTTCTCAGTCTCTGACCTGGAGCGCCATTGTCAATTACGGCAAACAGTAGACTAGATCCACCAAGCCCTTTGACAGTGCACAGTCGTTTTATGCCTTCATTGGAAGGAATACATCCTCAAGAGCATGTGGGAGACAAGGCACAGATGTGAGCGAGCCCCTGCATGCACCAGTATTCATTTATGTACATCATGAAAACTGGGTTTAGGAAAGCCCCAAAGACTGCTTCTACCAGAAATATCAGCAATACCAACAACATTTCAGCCCCATCTGTATTAAGAGCAGAGAAACAGAGAAATGAGACACCTATATGCCTATAGAGAAAATATACTGTTTCTCCAGAGATTCAAATCAGTGGCCCAGGGAGGTTGGGAGAAAGGAAGGAAGGAAGGAAGGAAGGAAGGAAGGAAGGAAGGAAGGAAGGAAGGAAGGCAGGCAGGCAGGCAGGCAGGCAGGCATGAGAAATTTTGGACAGATCCCTACTGGGTTACATTATGGCACCACTTTTCGCCTCTAAAATTGTTTGTTTCTTTGTTTGTTAAACAAAAATTACAACTTTGGAACAAACAAAATGAAAAAACTAACACTTGACAGGGACAATAGACACATTAGTGCACTTACACATGCCCTGTAAACATGGGATGAGATCCACAGAAGTCGTTAGAATTAAAACTGTAAAATTTAGTAGCTTAGAAAACTGAACTCTGTAACTCTGTTACAATTTTTTTTTTAAAAAAAAATCTGAATAGATATGCCTGATGTTTACATGAAAGCAAAAGAAAGCTTTAGAAAGATAGAGGAAATTTTTATCAAGGACATGTGGATTATTTGTAGCACTTGAAGATTGTCTACAAGAAGCAGGTTACCCTCCAAGATTGCATACATGAGCAAGGATTGTCTTATGTCCTTGTGTGCTTCCTTCTCCCCCAGAGAGTGAGAACCTATTTCCCTGATATCCAACCCTATCCCCCCCCCCATCTCAATCATATCCTTTTAAAGTCTCTGCCAAAAATTCTCCTATTTCCAAGTCAGGGACACGTTCCAAATTATATTCTTATCATGGTTGTTCCTTTTTAAAAAAAAAAACAAAGCTAAGCCTTCTGTACCAAATTATCCCTGATTCCACCCGCAGAAATGTTGAGTTCTGCAGCTAATTGCCTATTGCAAATATATGCTTTTGATAATCACCAGGAATGGCAA